CAATGTCTATATATATATATATATAAATATATATATATATATATATATAAAGAAAATACTTTAAAATATGTATGAAAATGCCAAAAATATTTACAATATATTAATAATTACCACGTATTTTCTATGCTATTTTAATATAAATTAATAATATTATTTATTTATTAAAAAATGTGCTAATAATCCTTATATTTTACATTTATAGATATGTTTTTGAAATTATTTATAATGATTTACTCTTTCAGTCTCTTAAATGTAAATCGATTTAGTGATTTATAAAATCGAGTATTTAGTTTGATTGTAACATTTTTTTAATGTTGAGTTTTTACTTTTTTTTGGGTAATCCCATATTTTTGACTTATTTAATTTCTTCTTAAAAAATATTCATTTGATAAGCTCTCATCAACAAAAATGTTATGGATTGTACTTCAAAAGTTCTATTTAAATTATTTTTTCAACCAAAAAAACTTATTTTTTCATAACTTATAGACGTTGAACTTAAATTATAAATATAGGAAATCTTGTTTTTTTTTAAAGTTTGAGGTTGATACGGATTCTAAGTATTTAAAATTTGATGGTAAACATATCGACATTTATATTTATAGTAAATAAATTTTATATGAAATGAGTATTTTGACTTAAACTACAAGATCGTTATTTAACATTTAAAATTTCCCCCCTGTAGCGCCCACTTATTTAACTTTAGAAAATACGGGATTTTCATAAATAATTTTGAGCTTTTCAAATGAAACATTTCTTGGGCAACTACAAAAAAACTCTTTATTTTGAAACTTTTCTCGCAAGACTCTCTTTCTTTCTTAACTTGTCAAACTTGCTAAACACTTTCTTCTTTTCTTTCTCTTTAACTCGACCCAAGTCTCACACTTGGATCCTTAGAGAACTAATTCCCAAAAATAATTTAAGAAAAAGTAGAGTACTCGAATATAATTACTTAGTCATAAATTGAAATCTCATAATTCTCAAAACAAACTCTAATCTAAATCACAGAGCAGGAAAAATAAAGAGTTTGTAAAACGATGCGGAATAATGTTAACATAAATAATAATGACCCGCACTGCCCTCCACGTAATATAAATTATTCTTCAATCTACCTATTAAATAATAATGCTAATAATTATATATTATATCCCTTAATACAAATATTATATCTGCATCAATAATATATATGCATCTCAATTTAATTATCTAAATTTGTAACTAATTTTTCTACGATTGCTTTTATTTACTTGATTGTAATCAGTATTAATTAACTAATCCATATTAATAAACTACCATATGTAACATAATAAATACACTATATGTAGCTTAAAAAAATTGGCGGTCAAATATTTTTTTGGCATTAAATGAATTGGTTTTATATATACAATATTAGACCATTTGCATTTGCATAGATTCAAATAAAGTATTATGAGTTATATTTATACATATAATATTAAAATTATAAGTAGATAATACTATTATGTTTAGAATTTGATCATTGGTTAAGATAAATATTACATTACGATTTGATTGCATATGAATCATTATATTGATTGCATAAAATGTAATAAATAATGTCATTTTTGTAATTTTGAGGGATTATGACCAATTAATTAGCTAAAAATATTAAAATTTATTATAACAATTGCTTATGAGATTTTTAAGGAATTTTACTATGACATTAAAATAAATTAATTTATTTAAAAAACAATCGCTTAATTAGATAAAAAATATAATATTAATTTGAACAAAAAGTTTTTACAATATAATTTCTTATGTTTATGTATTTCTCATATATCATTTAGTATAAAATATAATTATTAATTTTAATAGTAACTATTATATGATACAATAAAAAATATAATAATTACTCAGTTAATATAAAATGTAACGACTTTTTGTCTTAATTAACCTAAAAAAAGTGCAAGAAAATATTTTATCATTAATGGGATAGTGTGGATTAATATAATAATAATAATAATAATAATAATAATAATAATAATAATAAT